TCCAAAACTTTTCTCGATCTTTTAACCACACATTATCCAACAATTACTACTTCAAAATACAAAATTTTCCCAAAAATGAGGGTCAAATAGGGGCTATATGTGACAAATAATGCTATAGTACCTAGACATCGGTGTTGGTGGCAGTACTAGTGATATTAAATTATAAATTTAATTAAATACAAGAAATTATGACCCATTCAACAAAATTGAATTAGCAAGACCTTGAAATGTAATGACTTTTATTAAATGTTGTTACTTGTTGCTATTATGCCTTTGTTTAATCGTTTTTTTTTTTTTTTTTTCAAAACTCACCTTCAACAACACGTTCTTTCATAAAATAATTTTACTCATAAATCCAAAACTTTTCTCGATCTTTTAACCACACATTATCCAACAAATTACTACTTCAAAATACAATTTTTTTCCCAAAAAATGAGGGTCAAATAGGATCTATATGTAGCAAATAATGCTATTTAGTACCTAGACATCAGTGTTGGTGTCAGCACTAGTGATATTAAATTATAAGTTTAATTAAAAACAAGGAATTATGACAAATTTAATAAAACATATGATATGTTAACATCTAAGCTAGTACTGTGTCAACATTATAAATGCTAGATAGCATATTATTCATACGTGACCCATTACCCATTACGTGCTATTCATAGTTGATAGTATGCGTAGCATTGTAATGCTGACTACACACGACTTGCAGTATACTCGTGTGACCAGGCGCGGAGCCAGCACCCTGTGAGGAGGCGCGACCGCGCGTGCTAGCTCAACTGGAAGCTTTAGAACTACTGGGTAGAAAACTAAAGAGTTGCAAAGCCGGCCGGAGAAGAAAGATGACAGAGGAAAGAGATGACCCCTTTTTCCTTTTCTTCCTTTTTTTTTTTTTTTTTTTTGGGTTTGGGCTCAAGCCTGAAGTAATTGTTGCTGGGAATAAGCTGCTGGGAATAAACAAGAAGGAAGAAACTGCATGATAAACTAAGAAGAAGATGCTGCGTCACCTGCGTGAAGAAGAAAATGAGAAGGAAGCAATGTATTCATAAAATGGAATAAGTTTCTAGGTTTATAACATTATTGGGCCTACCTATTTAATATGTAGATTACGTCTTTTTTGGGCCCATTTAATTTTTATGTAATGAAATGATTGTTAAAAAATAATTAAAAAATCGAAATACTTAAAATACTCTTAATATTAGTTTTTCAAAAAATTTATATCTATATAGTAATTTATATTTTAAATAGCATATATTCAAATAAAATTTTATTTATTTAATTAATTTAATTTTCAGGTCGACCCCGATTTAACTTCAATTTGACCCTTCCCTCTTTTTTTTTTTGGCGAATCAATGTTTGGTCCGATTTTCAAAGCATTGATATTTATAGAGGAAAAAAGACTATAGAAGGTACAATAATCATAATAATTAGGATTATAGAAATACAATTATCATTCATTAATTAGTATTTAATTTACAACAATTCCCTTAAAATAACTCATTATACAATAATTAGTATTTAATGTTTTGCAACTTCTATTGTCGAATGCCGACTGCAAGCCGAGTCCGAGTGTCGTGAGTCTGGTGATTGGCGACTCTTTCTCTCTCTCTTTATTTATTTTTATTTTGTTTTTGTTTAATTTTGTTGGCTACTTAACTTGTTGATGTTGAGTATAGACTAATGAATGTTAATTATGTTATGATTATTGTTTCGGGAATTTATGTTTCCGAATTATGATTTATTATAAGTAATTTATGTTTTAATGAGGAATGATTATTGTTTCAAGAATTTATGTTTATGAAATTATTTTTGCGAATTGTGATTTATTATAAGTAATTTATGTTTTTACAAGGAATGATTTATGTTTACAAAATTATGTTCGTGAATTGTGATTTATTATAAGTAATTTATGTTTTAACGAGGAATGATTATTGATTTGAGAATTCATATTTACGAATTGTGATTTATGATAAGTAATTTATATTCTAAAGAGGAATGATTATTGAATAACTTTTTCGGACTATTACGATCGTTGATTGTCGACGGTCAACGGTCAACTTCCGCCCTAGCTGGACTTCGATCCTGAATTCGCCCCTGCGTGTGACTTGGAAGATTCTGACCATGAAGCCATATCCTTCAAAGCTAGTGAGAAAAAGAAGAAAAATAAAGAGTAGGTGTGTTTAATTATAATAATGATCCCTATAAATAGTTTTCGAATGATACAGATTGATCAAGATACAAACATTAAGAATAAATATGATTATTTTCTACCTATACAAATAAGACAAATAATGAACATAATTATACAATATTCTACAACAATAACATAATTTTTTGATATTTTATAATCTTTTGATAGCTTTCGTTTTATAGTAAATATAGAAATTGGACACTATTAAAATTGAAAAGGGAGAAATTTTTAAATTTCACGAGGTCTAAGGTACAAAGATGGATGTGGAAATTACATGCAACCCGTATTTTAGATATCACAAATCAAAAATCAGATTTAAAGTTTATTTGTACAAAAATCAGATCTTAATTCAAAATTTTAATATTAATAATAATATTATAAAATTAATTAATCTACCATACACAATTTCAATCACAAACCGTAATTATATCTCTCCCTCCTTTGTTTTTCTAAACTTCCTACCTCTTTATTCTCTCTTCTCTAGCCCTCTCTCTATCCTCTCATTGACTATGAGCAGCCACAGTGTATGGCGTGCAACGTAGGCAAGCATGCTACACATCATATCTGAGACTACAGTGATGCTGTAAGCGCGATGACTGTGCTTCGCGAGTCATGGTGTTGCTGATTTGAAGCGGGGATGAGCACGATGGCCACTTCGTGCGATTCTCTCCATTCCCATTTGTCTCTCTTCTTCCTCTCATATCCGCCACTCGATGATTCTGGGTGCTGCTGCGAACTTGTGACAACACTTGTTTGTTGCGAAGTCGTGACAATGTCACAGTTGGGTGGTGGTGGTTGTGACGTTGACACGATGGCAAGGTGGTAGTACTATTGGCCATCCGATGAGTTCGTGGTGATCATGGCGTGGCATTGCGGTTATTGTGAAGTTGCAACCTAGTTGTGCGATAACATTACTTTTGGATCTGATTTTTTCGTGATCTTTAGGTGTTAGTGGTTGTGATGTTGATTGCAGTGGTGAGGTGGTGGTCGTTGTGGCGATTGTGTAGTGAGCCCGTGTGGATTGGGGTATGATGGGATATTGGGAGAGGGTGTTTGCGATCAATTATTTAATTAATTGTGACCAATAGATAATATGTCACCTAAAAAATGTGATTATGATTTACAATTTATTCAGTTGTGATCAAGAAATAACTCGTGACCAATTAATTTGATAATTTGTGATTGTTAAATAAGTTGTGACTTATAAAATTTGAGATTAGTGATCGGTAAATAAATTATGATCTAGAAAATTTTTAATTCGTGAGAGAAATAATTTATGATCACTTAATTTGATAATTTGTGATCAAATTGTATAGAATAGTAACATTAACATATTTAATTCCTAAAATTTATTTCTAGTTAATTATTTCATAAATAAATTTCAATTAATATCTAATTTTTAAAGTTTTAATCCTTGTTTTTTAGTTTAGAAATGGGTCATACTTAATTTCTTAGATATGAAATTTTTCCAAAAGGATCCCCAGTAGCAATAGGTCATGGATGGGGTTTTCAAAATTTTTGAAAGCTTATCTTTAACTAGTTTTAACTTCAAAGCTTACCTTCACAGCCTCTTCACAAGAGTTTCCCCTATGTCATAAATTATTATACCTAGAATCCAAACTTATTCACATAGAAGCACGAGATGGATACCACTTAAATCCAAAAGAAAGTTGTCAGTCACGAGTTGGATTGCAATGTTCGAGAAAACAACCCTTCTACACGTACAGAATGATTTTTGCCAGAATACTTACAGAAAACTCACAGTTCCGAGGCCCACACACATTTTTAGCATTTTTTATACAACATGTGGCCCACACACTTGTCTCTATTCTGTAGACAGTCTGTGAAAAATTTTCTGTACACTCAGATTTTCTCTCGGGAAAAACTAAGATTGACTTTCAAAATAGCCGTCTTTCAAGGTAGTTGTGTACAGATAAGGTGGTAAGGCCTCAAATAGTAGTGGAGTTGGTTGGTAATGTGTAATTCTTTTTTTTATACGAATTAGTTATAAGAGAATCGAATTATTCTACGTGATAAGTTCACATTTCGAGTGGAAGCCCAACTCTCTATTAATATTGGATTGTTTCTTCTTTGTCCTTTTGAGTGTAGTTTACTTCAACTTCCTCGGCCGGACTAGCGACGTTAAAACCTCAGTTAATGTAGCAGCCTTTGTTGGTGGAGATGGAAATGGTGATTGTGTGGATGAATCTCGATGTTGAAACGGTGATGTCGAAAATTTTAAAATGAATTTCTTTGAAATGCTATAAGAGTTGAAATAGAAAAATGTATCATTTTAAAAGTTTGTATCAAATTTAACATTCGTAATTCGATACAGTTGACACATATAAATGTCATATTCTTTTCTCACACTCTCACAATTTTACTTTTATATTTAGGTGTAAAACTTGTGAATCATAATATAAAATTTCGTTTCTTAAATAGTTAAATCTGCCCCTCTAAAATCATACCATATTAATTTAGAGGTGAAAAAAAGTCATAAAAGTTAAGGAATAATAGTATTTTTATGTTGGAGCTAAAAAATAAGTCAAAATAATCGAATAGGTCTATAGCAAGTTTTGAAATTAACTCGAAAGAATCAGATCTTGAATTTCAAAGCGAGCTATCTGATTGAAATTCTTTAACCAAAACACATTTAGCTCGTGATGGATTGCATTCTCTAAAAACTTATTTTCAATCGTACATTATTTCAATAAAATAATTTTTCACATAATAAAGTTAAAAAATTTCTCAATTTTGAACCACAGAAGTGGCAAAACTCTTTTTTCTTTTTTTCTTTAAGGAGGGTTTTTAGAGCTTAGGAATTGCATCCATAGAGCTTCTAACGTGCAGAGGAATAGAAGGAAGCGCATATAAACAAGAAAATGGGGAAAGGAGACCTATGGGACGATTCTGCTCTCATCAACGCCTTCGATCACGCAATTTCCAAATACAAGGTTCCTCTCTCTCTCTCTCTCTCTCTACACACACACACACACACACACACACACTCGTATACACACACAAATAAATTCGTGTACACGTCCTGTACTTTTATACGCTAACACGTTGTTTTTTTGCAGATGATGCACAGGTCAGCTGAGGGAGGAAAACCCATTAATGGTAACGAGGAAATATTTGAAGTTGTTAGTAAGAGCAGTGAAGTTAGCTCCTCTGTTGGGTAATGTTTTAGTTCTTCAAAATTTTGGATAAAGTTTATAATTTATACGCAGGCTTTATTGGCACAAGTGATTATAAGTATATTATAACTGGAACTAATTTGTTGGAGGAATTATTAATTCTGTTGTATGTAGAAGGAGAAAAAGTAATGTGGATTGTGTTGGGAAGTGCATGTTTGATGTTCTTCATAATTCGAAGTTATTTTATGAATTGTATAATCAACCAATTGTTGATAGTTTGAAATTAGAATGTAGATATAATCAACTCCTTCAAATTTGAACATAATTTGATTCTTATGCGATTTTGAAGCCCTAACTCCATGCAAAGAAGGGGGTGCGTTTGATAATAGGATCGGGGAAAGACACGCATTGAAGTTAATGTGATTTTTATTATTTTGAGATTATTTCCAATAGTAAAGCCCAAAATTCTAAAGGAATAGTTTCGGTGAAAATATTCAGATTTTGCAACGAACTTTTCTCTGCTTCTTGGCCTCCATTCGACAATGACAGCAATAAAGGGTAGTGTATTCTCTGGGTCCACACTGGTGCTTGAGTCATTGAGAATTTTATTGAAATTTCCGAACGTGTTTGCTTTATATTGAAAATTACAAATCCTAGGATCAGATTTTATACTTTAAACCACCCTCTTTGGCTGGATTTATATACTGCCCATGGCATTATCTGAGATAAGGTGCAATCTGCTTGTAATCATCTTTTCCCCTTACCTCGTCGACTGAATGTACTTATTTCTACCCTTCATGTTGAGCAGTTGATCTAGAATTCTAGTTTGTTCACCATACGTTGGGATGGACTATTCCTAGTGACCTCCTCAATGCATGTCTCTTGGTTTGTCTTCAAATTGGGTTTCTAAGGACTTAGGATGGGCCTTGATTATTTATTGATTCAGGCGGGATAATAATTTTTATCCATGCCCGAAATAAACACACGAGAATTTTTCTTTTCTTTTTCTCTTTTGGGAAATGTGGTGCTTAAAATTGAATTTGAAGCCATGATGCAATGCGAAAAGAGAGTCAGGAAGTATAGAGTATGAGCCAAGATTCAACTAGAAAAAGTATCTTTGTACTGTTTTGTGCACTATTCTATCACCTTGATATTTTCCACATAAGACTTGAAAGTAATGTACTTTCTCCATGTCTAAAGAGGCAAAGAGAGAGACTTTTTTATATCTTATGTAGTTTAGAGAGTATGAAATAGAATAATATTTGAAGAGATTGGAGATATAAATTCAAGGTTAGAAGGGATTTTGTCTGAAGCCTGCGGTTTTTAGGAACCAGATGTATTTCTTGTTTGGATCTATTGAAATTCTTCCAAACTTTATACCAGCTCATCACCTCCGTGCAGCAACACTCACCTCAGTATTTTCTAAATATATTTAGAATTCCATAATAATGGCTTGTCATATTATTTCTTTCACAACTCTATGTTACTTTTTTAACATGTGAAATCCAGCAAAAACTGGCACTAGCTTGAGCAGTTTAATACTTAAATAAGTATTTTTTCACATAAATTTGTTGGATGCTAATTTTCAGCTATTTGATGTATGAGCTTTAAAATCATTTTCTATATGCTAATCTTTTGATTTCTTTTGCATCGGTGAAGAAGTCTGGAGACAGATAATGGAAAGAGCACCTCATTAAATGCCACTGCAGAAATTGGAGAGACTGTCAGCCTTTCACCTACTGAGGAAAATCCTTCCATAGAGTCAGGTTTTCCTGAAAAACATATAGTTTCATCCACTGTGCAAAACGGTAACCTTACACCTGCCAAAGAAAATTCTGCGGTGGAGTCAGGTTCTCTAAAGAAAATTATAGATTCGTCCAATGTGCAAAATGTTCAAGATGACGCCACATGGTACTCACAAAGTCCAGAAGAGTACAATCAGTTACTTAACAAATATTACGAGCTCGAGAGTCAGAGGCAGAATATTGTCCAGAAACTTAACCAATGCAGCAATTGGAGCTATGAGCATCCTGTTTCTGGTACATTTACTCCTGAATATAATCAAGCTTCTTTTCCCCAATCTTCTTTTCAAATAGTTACCTGTTGCTGTCCATATGGCTGTCAAAGTTCGGTGGCCTGCTGCTCTTCATTACCAGTTCATTGTTCAGATGGTGCTTGTGTTGATAAAAGTTGTGATACTTCTAGAGGTGGTTATAATGGGAATTCAACATCTCAGGAAGATCATGGTTTTGTTAAAACGGCAATGGTTGCTGCAGAAAGAGCACTTTCTTCTCTTACAAATGAAACTTCCCAGAAGGCTGATGCATCTGTAATTGGAGGTAAGACAACTTTCCTGCTCTCCTTATGTCAGCCAATTGTTTTCATTATTTGGCTTTGACATAGGGGATGTTCAAAATCTTGGAATAGGAGTGCAGTGACTGAAATTTCTTTTATATACCTAGTTTATTCTGAGAGGTGTCCAATGGCCAAATGTAGTATGCTAATTTTTGAGAATGTTGCTAAATACAAAACTGGGGGAAAAGCAAAAACAAGGTTCCTCATTCTGAATCCATAATTACTCTTGATAGGTCCCATTAAGAATCATTTTTAATAAAATATATTTTAAGAAGCAGCTACTAGGATCCTATATAACTGTGGAGGCTCTGATACGGCTCTAGTCTGGACAACTCTTAACTATTAATGTCTTTTGGTTTCTCTCTCTCTCTCATTTCCATACCTACCCCCGCCTCTTGCTTACTTTTTGATATCTAGAGGGTGTTTGAGCCCCATTTTTATGAAAAAAATGTATTTTAGAATAGTAGATTGAAGGGAAATGTGTGGTTGAAAAATAAGGACAAGTTTTTGAATTGAGGGGGATGGGGTGGGTGGGGTGGACATTGCAAAATCAGTGTAATCTTCATAGATGCACCTAAGCCCCATCTACCAAACTAGCAAAACTTGAATTAATTTCATCACAGCATCATTAAGCAGATAATGCTAATTTATAAAGAAAAAGATGGATGGCATCAAATTTAAGTGAAGGGTAATGTAAGAAATAGGGTTGATCTTGAGCCAGTTTTAAGGATAGTGGGAAGATTAGACTGTATAAATAGCTATTTTTAATGTATTAGCTGAATAGGTCCACCCCAAACAAGCTCTTTTCTTATTTATGGATCTCCTGTGCGGTGTGGATGACTTACTTTAAAGTAGCAAGAAAATATTCTTATTTTTGTAGTATGTGAAATTTCAAAGGTGACTCTAGAAGATATCAGCTTTGTTAATTTAGTAAGTGCTTTTAGTACCTATATTGAACTTTCTATTTTGCATTCTATGCAACACATAAACTTTCATCGATTTTTACATTGGCTTATTAAATGAAATAAAAGGTTTTATTGTCAGGATTCGAATGTCTGAACCGATGTAAAATCTCCCTAGACCACAAATCTCCACGTCCCCTTACCGCAGTTCAGAAATGTGGGTATACTTATAGAAAGAAAAGAAAAACCAAATGTGCGGGGGAAGGGTATGTTTTAGTGTAGCCTTGTCAGTACTTCCACCTTACCCGACTTGGAAAAACATGCATGCTTACAGAAGGATGAGAAGACCCAATTTGAGGTTTTTCAAGTGGTTGATTTTTAGGACATGAATCCATCACTCATGTGAATTGATAAAAGGAAAAGTTCAGCATACATCACCCCTTTTGTTATGGAGACAGACATACTATTATAATATAGCCAGCAAAGTTTATTCACTAAATTCCATATTTTGGATAGAGACGCTGACGCACCATGACATGTGATGCCACTAGTACTGGATTTTGAACTTATCATTGAAAAATGAATATTTTACAAGCTTAGTGACATGCTCATCTTTATTTTTACTGAAATTTGAATATTCCTGGTGGAAAATATATATTTTATTAGCTCAGAAACTTAATGTGTGTTTCACGAAAAACAAGGAAAGAAAGAAACACGTGTGTTTTCATTCATTTGCCAACACCTTTACTGCACAAATGTCGTGCAGAAGGTCTATTAGGAATGCTGCAATATGAAGTCTCAGTATATATGTTAATTTTTTCCAATGACTGCAGGGAAGGGCGAAGAGTTGCAGCCAGAAGTTAGCCATTTAACAGAAAGTACTGAGTCTAGAACAGATCTTGATGTGGTCTTGAATGCTTGGTATTCTGCGGGTTTTTTCACTGGAAAGTAAGTGATACCAATTCTTTTACTTGTTTCTGTCCTGATAGGAAACTAGAAATTTATTTAGAAAAAAACTTAGGATCATTACAAGCTAGTCAAGAGGATAAGAAAAAATAGCTAGAAAAAACATGAACATACACAAATATTTTATGCTTTTCTTGTTAAAAGATTCTTTATGTCCTTACTAGACAAACATTTAGATAAGCTGTAGGGGTATAACTTGTAAGATCCTTGTTCTACTGGGATTCCACCTATTATTCATATAATTAATTCAAATCAAACCTGGAGGCTCTCACAACCTTGTGTTTGAGATTGCTTTGGCTACATTTTCTATTTAGTGTGCATGTGGTCCTGCCCCAATCTCTACAGGTAATGCTGAGAATTATAAAGCTTAGATAATTGAGAAGCATGACTATCAAATTTTAAGAACGTGAACAGCATAGAATGATGTAGGAAACCCACCACCACCAATGCAAATTCTTCATCTAGACCCGCTTCTATCTATTCTTGCTATGACAGACTACAAAAAGCTGCCATTCCCTGTAGTTGTTTTGTTACTGTAGCAAATTCTGACGAAAAAAAAAACACTCTATTTACATGCAAACCTAGAAGCTCTTATGAAAGAAATTTTTATCAGAAACTATGGTACTGTACCACAAGTGAAAAGGCAATTTTTTATCTTCTTATTTTTAAGAAAAATCATCGTGCCTGGGTGTGGGGTTTGGCATTGACCCCTACCTCGTCTATTGTTTGTTAAAAAAGGAGGGGGACTGATGGAGATCCTGTTAGATAAATTATTTGAAGCTTTCCCAAGTTTATCATCTTATTTTAGGACGATTAATTAGGGTTTTATTTTATAGATTTTCTAGTATTTTGTTAGTTATTTCCTACTTAATTTAGATTAGTTTAAAACCCTATATAAATGGGACTTAAGCATTGTAAGACTTGATTATTTAATAAACTGATATTTCTCCATCTAATAATTCTATCTTTTCCCTCTGTCTCTCTAATTCTTCTCCTCTTTCCGTCTCCCTCTTCTTCTTTTTCTTTCATTTCCCCTTCTCTCCCCATATTCTGCAGGTCTCGTTCTTTGTTCCTTGCATCTTGCGTCAGGGACATACCAACCTTACCTCCAAAATTACAAGGAGAGCAGGAGATAGATAATTATTTTAAGCTATAAATGTGTGAGTACTTCACCATAAGTGGAAAAAGGCAATTTGAGGAGCAAAGTCCTTCGCTTTCTAGATCTGATATTAGAGGGCCTGAAAATACTCTCAAAAAACTTGTCAGCTTGATCTATCGTTTTGTCGGAGCCTAGGACTATTCAGAATCTCTCTTTTTTCTTTCTTTCTAATTTTTAATTTTTAACTCTCCTCACTAATATTTAAATATGTCAAAACTATATGTTTTATCCTGTCCAAACAAGGTGGGTTGGAGTGAACGTGGAAGAGAACAATGTGTCTTCTTTGGTTGGAGTGAATGTGGTAGAGTACAAGGTGGTTTCTTTAGCAGTTGAGTTGAATTGTGGTGGGGCGACGATGTCTGTTGAAGTATTTAAAATTTTTGTTGGGATTGATTTGATTAAAGTGGATTTATGGAATCTAATGTTTCCAGAAGCCAAGAAGAGGTTGGATGGGTGAAAAGTTTGGAGACAAAAACTGGTGCAGTTGTTGATCTGGAGCATTCCAATTGCTATGTTTCTTTTTAAGATTTTGAGGGAAGTGGTTGCCTTTCTAGAATAATTATGTAGAGGTTTTTACGGGAAGCAAAAAGACAGACAATGGAATAAAGGAGCACCCTGTGGCATGGAATTGAGTTTCAGATCAACTTGTTATGGTGATTTGGACATTGGATATTGGGAATTTGAAACATAGGAATAGGCAAGTGGTTATTGAGATTCCTGTTGGAACAAGTATCTTTTGCGTGAACTGCTGATGAGTAAATATGGGTTGCATAGCAATGGAAGGGAACACAAAAGAAGTGGGTACACCAGGTAGTTGTCTTTGGAAACATACTTCACACGTTACAATTTATTTCTTGTACAAGATTTGAGGTTGGTGAGATCATATTATGCTACTTGTTTCTCTCTGCCATTTCAGCATACTTCAATTGCAAGAAATTCTATTTCCTCATTTTTTTCCTTTACTGGATGTAATTAGTTTTCATCAGAATTTTAATGACGAGTCAGAGGAATCTATTTGCTTGATGAATTAGAGGGCTCTAAATAAGAGTAGATTTTGAGGGTGAGATGGTTTGGGTTCTAAACTCTTCTGGTCTTCTTTTTTAGCTAATAATTTTCTGTCTTGTTCCTGTCAAATTCCTCTTCCTTTTAATTTCATTTGGAAGTTGAATATCCTCACTAATGTTAATAAGTTTTTGCTCCATTAGTAGTTCATGGTAAGTTGGCCAGTTTTATGATCCAAAAGAAGATACCATACTTCATTTCGCTTTCTTTTTATTATGTTTTATGTTATATGAATGCTAGATTGATTAATCCTATTTTATTGTAATGAAAGTTGGCCTCGAGACACTGGAGAAAGTTGTTATTGGAAGTTGGAATTGATTGGGCAATGCCTAGAACCTTTTTTCTCTTGACGTCACAGTATTGTGGTGGTTTTGGTTTATCAATAAATAGATAAATTTATTTGAAGTTTTCAGTTCTGTCATCTTTTAGGTTTTGTGGCAAGGAAGGAACACTAGAACTTTCGAGGGAGTGGCTATGGACTTTGAGCGTGTGTCGATTAGGATTGTGTTTTGGTCTTTTCATTGGACTATGATTGATGAAGAGTTTCAGTTTTACATTAACCTGTTAGTGAACTTGTGTAATGTAGTGTAGATTTTTGCACTTGTTTGGGGTGTCTACCGGACATATTGTTCTCTTATTTCATACTTAGCCCTTGTTTGTCATCCTTTAACAAATTAAATTGTTTGCTAAAGTAACATTCTCCACCACACAGTCACATCATAAAATATTCTATGCACAAACCAATATAGTTTCTTTAAATTTTAACCACATATTCTCCAAAAAATCCTATTCAAAGCTCTATAATTTCTCCCATAATGGGAAACAAACAAGCTCTTATTATACTTTTCAGTAAAAGTTGGGAAGGTGAATCCAAATCTTGTAGACCTAAGAAGCAAGTCTGTATCTGTACTGATGAATGCCAAATCTCTAAATAGAGATATTTCTCAAGTGAATGCATGTTCTTGATGCTGTTTGATTCATCTTGGGCAATGAAATGTTAAACTTTTCAATCATTTCATTTAATAGAATATATATACTGATTTTTGTTTGTGATTTAGGTACCTTTCGGAACAATCCTTGGGAGAGAAAAGACATGACTAAGGGGCCTTCAGTGTTAAGTAGCCAAGAATTTTGGTGCGATTTCTGAGAGTGAAGAAATTCTTTCATGCGGTACATGTACAATGAAGAGCACATCTTTTGGCAAATTATGGTTGTGACTGAAGGAAAATTCAAGAAATAAATTTAGAATTGCAGTTCTTAATGAGTTGTGATGATATAAAGACTTTCAATCTCTTTGAAACGTTCTTGTTCTCTTCAAGAAACAATCATATTTTTGATGACTTGTGATGTAAAGCAATGACACACTTGTATCGATAATGACGATTGCGTTTAGGTATACTGGATGATCCGTGTTCAAGTATAATTTAATATGAAGTAGGTTCATGGTATTTATTTGGTGTCTGTTAACCACTGCTCTCTTTGTTCCCTTGAGAGCATGTGTGATTGCACGCATTGTTAATCTCGCCATATTCAACATTCATTCTACTCATTATTTGATATACTTTTTTGATTATGTGCAATAAATGAAGAATCCATAGATATTTTTAGTTAGCATTCTAAAAGCGTAAATCATGATTAAATTTCAAGGTTTTACGAATCTAGGCAAAGTTTAAGCATAAAAAAATGTAAAGCTAATTAGATGGCAAGACTAAGCTTTGCACCGAAATTTATAGGCGAGCTTCTTTATAAAACAAGCTTTTGAGTTCAAGTGGTTGAGGAGTTTAGAGGGCAGATTTAATGCATTGATTCACTTGGATCAATTGAACCAATTAATGATTTATTCAATAATGGTTTTTAAAGTTCATTGACCCTTTAGAAATCTTTTGCAAAGTTCAGTGATCATTAGGTGACATTTCGTAAAGGAAGTTTCCCTTCAGTTGTCAAAAAAAAAAAAAAAAAAAAAAAAAAAAGAAGGAGGCATACACACCTAATTAGCAGAAAAAAATGTTTATAATTGCAATTTTCTGCTCTGTCAAGAATTTGTGTCAAGAGGGCGACTACATAGAACACGAGAGGGATCTCAAACTAGCAAGTAAAAAGTACTTCACGCCTTAAGTGCTGCTGCAGCTTCCCTTATTTGCTCAATTGTGAAAATGCCAAAGTAGTCGTCGTCTATGACAGCATTTACCACAGCAAAGGCAACATCGTAAACGCTAACTGGTGGGGCTAAAAGTAAATCGGAGGCAGGCAAAGAGTTCAAAGGTTTAGTAAAATTTTCTGTAGCAAGCAGAAACCTCTCAAGCGGTTCCCCTATCAAATCCAGAGGGATCTCATATCCATCGACTTTCCTCTTCCCATATATAAATCCTGGTCTGAAAACGACTCCTGTTGAAGTTGAAACATAAAAGCCATGAATGTCAGAAAGATACACCAACTAAAGGACTCTCTTCCACTATATTTGATCTTTTGAGTGCATTGCAAACAGATTTTGCAGCTTAACAATTTCTTTAATCATGCTAGAATATGTTCTTTGTACAGTGTCATTTCCCAGTCTTTCCGTACTCATTTGACCCAGAAATTCTCTATTTGCATTTCCACATTATATATATATATATATATAGAATGCCATACTTAGATTTATCTCTAGTATGAATTCTAACCATATCTATAGCATGCTATACTAGCATTATTTTCAGAGAGATGATATGATCATGAGATTTGTGACAAGAATGAGCATGGGAAGATGATTTTCTCGTATGAGAATGATGGGTACGAAAGCTCAAAGATTTTCACGATATTAAACATGAGTATGCATAGCCTTTACTTGTAAAGCCTTTACCTCATTTAGTTCTAGAACTACAGGTTTGTTTTGCATGTTGGATCACAGCTTCTGAGGAACCTGGAATGCGGTGTACATGGATGATGAATAGTGGACATTCCTACTTGGGTTATGGTTTGTGAGAGAGAGCGAACCTCAGCTAGTTTTTCATTTCAATTTTTGTACTTAATGACTAACAGAGACAACAATTGGGACAACTTACTCCAATCCTCTAATGGTTGTAGGTAATATTTTTATTATTTTAAACATTCGTAGCATAGCACTATTGATCCAAAGCTATGAATTTATTTATATCAGTTGCACATCTGAAACGAATGGGTTTACCGTCAGACAAATCATAAAACAGTTATGGTGTGATGGTCCATTTTTGGGGAGGTACATTAGAGGGATTAGATTCTAAGGATATTTTCAATCCGGATTGAAGACTGGGAATTATATGCAAATTTAATTGAACTGCGGATGAGAGTTTACGATGTGACTTTGGATGGATATACTCAAGTAAAATATCAACCATTGATTAGAGAATGAAAATGGCGACATTCCAACCAGTCAACAAAGAGCCATTCACATTCGTGGAGTCGTCCAAGGCTCGAGATTTCCAACGAGAAAGCTAGAAGGCAACTGCACATAGGATGCATTGGGTATTTGGTCAATGTCATAGACACGAGACTGAACATAAATTGTCAACCATAATGCTATGGTGGTGCATCTTTTTCCAGAGGTACTCCCTGAGGATGTACAAGGATTCCCACCAGATAGGGACCTTGCATACTCGAAAAGGAAAAATTCAAATTTAGGTGGGGAAGAGTGGTATTCTTGAGATATGTACCAAGATTAGCAAGGATCTTAGCAAGGTTAGAGCAGAGAATAACTGGACAAGGCTGATAAATCCACCATAACTCTGTAGAGAAGAAAGCAATGGAAGAAAAAGAGAAAGGCAACTATTGCAGAATCTTGTCAAAGGTTTAAGTCTTTTGAATGCTTTGGATGGTAAGGTCTCTTTTGATGAACAAATGACGCTCAACACTCGTACACAATTTCAGGGACAAGTTCGAGGATTGATCATGATTTTGTAATGCTTGCAATATTTATATATATACCTTAAATTCGATGAAACTAATGAAAGAGCCAGGTCTTCTTTTGATGAGGTTGTGTATGATGAAATCGAGATTTTAATTGGAATACCTCATAATTTGGATTGTAAAATAGATATATGATCACACAATTTGTGGGCTTATTTCTCTTCCTCACTTTAAGATACTTGTTCCCCTCTTTCTCTCGATATACGAAGCCACAAAATCAACTGCAACTATAATAAACCACTTCCTGTACCCACTGATAGTTTACCTTCCAGCATGTTATCAACAGATTTGTGTAGAATTGACAGTAAACTCTAGAAAAATAATAAGGTACCTGACATTGGATATTTGGAGAGAACCTCAGATTCTGCTTTCCTCTTTCCAGTGAAGTAACCCGATGTAAGTAGAAAAGATGGAAGGTTATAATCATGAACTGATATCAATATAAATTTTGGAATGCCTGCAGAGAAATGAAAGTCATGTCAAATGATGTAATCACACGTTTCTATCCAGAAAACTGTAAATAATGCAAAGTAAAATAGAATAAAATTTTTAAACAGGCAATACAAATGGAAATCCATTCCAAATAGGCACTCCTAAGTTTATAACAGAAAATTTCTCACCAAATTCTTTAGCAGCATTTACTGCCACAACATTAGCCTCGCCATTAATCCTTTGCATCTGTTCCTCACTGCCAAAACCCCCAAGTGTTGAAACAACTGCAGTAGCCCCGTTAAGCACTTCCTCCCAGTTTGCATAGAAAACATCTCCTGAAAGGTCCAAGGATTAATCAAACAATATTTGTGCAAGGTAAAAATCCACAATGACATAAAACAGAAAACTGAATCAATTCATCATAATTTTTAAGTTGATTATTTCTTTGTCCTGATCAAAGCTAAAAAGTGTTGCATGTCAATTAATAAGTGATACTTTCAGGTGTCTATGGTTGTCTCTGTTACATACTTCAACTCTGATTTTGCAATAGCTCAGTATAATTACAAATTCCAATTATGTAGAAAATCATACTATAATAGTACCAGTAGTGAATTTAACACATCTAGCATAGAAAAGTGCGTTTTAATTGTAATTCACCTGAGATCAGTAGTGAAACAGGTTTGTTATTTCTCTCCCTTTAGGCTATCTTCACATGTTGTGGTAGATAATTCATTTGATGAAAGATTAACATTCATTTTTCTGAAGACTAAAGGGCCTATTTTCGGGCTGTGAGCATCTCTTTTGATATTAACTAATATTGTATTTGAGGATTAGACAATTATGACTGCTGCTTCTCTCTGTTTCCTCCCTATTCTCGATTCTTTGTTTACAACGCTTCTTTTTCTCCCAATTTAAAACATAGGAAGCCTGGAGAAACAGTTGACTTTTTGCTTGAAGCATACAGTATTTGACTCATGGCCTCCTTGCTGTATTGCAATTTCGACCAACGTCCAGTCAATCATAAATTATTTCCATCAAGCTCAGTTCTTAATTCCAACTCATACGCTTGTATTTTAAAGCCTCCCAAAATTGGCATAATGTTCACAATATATACTCAAAGAAGGCCGGAACGTTTTAGCATGAGCTCATGCAAGGCCATCTCAACATGTATATTGCTGACCAGAAACCGTTTCTCATCTGTTCGAGACAAAGCATTTAAAAAGAATTTTTCCCGGTAATATCCACAGGGAAGAATAATCTGATCGCTGAGGATATTGATTCCTCTCTTTCTGTGGGCAGAACTTGACTCTTCCCACGAATCTGGTAGAAATATGAAAAAGATGGAATTGGTCACTACAATTTTTTAGTTTTTGGTAATATTATTATATAATATTTAATTTACATTTTTGAGTTTAGGAATTCTGGACACCTTGCTTCTAGTGATGCGAAGCCCATGCCTTGGCTAAAAAGAACCCTGTCTATCCTAAATCCACCAGCACTCTGATGCATACATGGGGAATATCAATTGAGTCATGTGGTAATCTTCTAAAGAAAGAATGATGATCTAATTAAAAGGTGGAACATTATTGGAAAAGAAGACAAGCTATGTACTAATCCCCCGGTATAAACACGCATCCTCAAAGTCACTTCAAATAAATCAACTAATCCCATATTTCAATCATTCAATATACACACCGTTTGTTTCTCTTACGACACTTACAAAGTTAACTAAAAATTATTTTTGATAAATCCAGAGTTTTCAGTAAATCACAAAGTTGCTAGATAATCAAGAGTATTTGGCATCAGATATACCGACTTATTCAGCTACTATCAGTCATAGATGTATGTATACTCGTTGGTTTTGAACAAAGAGTTAGTTGCACGTGGAAAGAAATGGAAGCTAATTGACAATTTATCAGTGTATTTGAAGTAGTGAAAGTTACAGTAAACAGAAAAAAGAGAGAGAGAACATTCTGCTTCCATAGTCCATAAATAACTCAAATGGTCTGTTGGCTAGATGATTTCAACGTACTCGACAATATTAAAAAAGAGAAAAAAATGCTGAAATATTGTCTATCGTCCAGTCCTATTCGTACC